GCCATTCAAGGAACATTTACAACCAAGAGCATGGGCTTAAAATTACCAGTACGTAACTGAAGAGGCAATAATGCTAAACGCTAATCAGTTATCACCAAGGCTGCTGTTGCTGTTGGGTTTTTTTGTGGTTTTGTTTTCACCGCTTGAGTTGATCCTACATTGATCAATAGCAAAAAGGAAATCACCAAACAATACAAGTTTGCTGGTTACCCAAAGTTGGCGAATTAAATGAGGGGCCATCTCAACACCTTCTAAGTGAAGGTGACTCAAACCCCATCCCCTTAACAGTAATATGCTATGTGTCAGTACATAATGGCAAATTTGACTTGGAGGTGTCATGCGCACTGTTGCATCCTTTGATATATAGCTCTCTTTTGTAGCTCATCAGTCAGCTAACCTTGGGAGAGCTGGAAAGGAGAGAAAGATAAAAGACTTAAGCTATTATGTCTGAATGGCTCCTGTCTCAATTTAGCTGTTAAATGGCCTTCTGGCTACAGCTGCTGCTGAGGACAACATCCCAACAGTTGTTGTCACATTGTTGTGCTTTGGTGAAAATCCAACTGTCTGTCGCTCTGTCAGCACATTTTGTGTGTGTGTGTGTGTGTGTATGCGCACATGAATGTACTTTTGTGTGCACGTAAACATATTCATGCAGCAAAGGTTGATGGAGTGACTCTGGAAGTCAGCAGCTCTCCAGGTGACTCCAGAGTAGCTTGGAGAGGAGTCGTGTTGTAGTGGTGCATATGTGCCCACACACCCAGAAACACATCCTGAAGACATGAAAGTGACACACACACACATCGTCCCATCTCAACTTATCTCACTTTTCACCTCGCCCTCTCTCTGTCTCTAGGTATCGCAGTCTGAAGCATTTCAACTACGACGTGTGTCAGAGCTGCTTCTTTTCTGGGCGCACCGCCAAGGGTCACAAGCTTAACTACCCAATGGTGGAGTACTGCACACCGGTAAGAAAGTAACACACACACACAGACGTTGCCCACTAGCTCATCTCATATCTCTTTTCCACATGCTCACACATTCCACTCATCCATTTAATGAAGGCACACAAATTCGGGGTTCAGACAGACTTCAGGCTTTGGTTACCTCCTAACCCATCTTTCATTAAAACTGTTCCATGCCCGATGTCATAAATCACTGACTCACACTCTTCCCACTCCTTGAATATTCATGTTCTTTTTTTAATACCCGTTAAGGGAAATCCGAAGTATTACAGCAGCACATTCATACATATTTTCATTTCCAATTTCTTTAACACAATCTTGCACTTAATGCATGCTGTTATTTTAATCTTCTAGTCATGTCTTACTCTCTGGTTTTCTTTGTCTGGGTTCAACCAGAGTTATTTATTAAACGTGTATTGTTTGAATGTCATTTGCATTCATCTGCAGCTAAAGTAGACTGCACTCTTCTGGGAGAAAAATTTTTTGGAACTTTGCTGGGAGTTTCCCTCTGACATTCACAGGAGCCTCAGTGAGAAATTGTGATAGATCAAGCTGTAGACTCAGGATAGGTTCATTTCTAAAGTATTGGGTAGGCTTTAGAGTCTAGAGTTAAAAAGTATGAAAATGCATCAGTTCCTAATTTTTCTAATGAAACTGACAGACAGCATTTAATGTGGATAATACCTTGGCAGTCACCCAACGTGCTTAAGGTGGTTGGCATTTACAGAGAAATCAGAAACTGCGTGTATCAGAGTGCACAAGAGGCAAACGTATCGGATGTAACGTAGATTAGAAACAGCCCGAATCAAAACACAAACAGACTTGTTCACATCATGTTATACTGACGACACATTTAGTGAATCTGAAGCGTCTAGGCTTTAACTAACCTCTTTTTTCCCTTTAAACTAGGTTCTGTCAACTGCAGAATTTCTTGTCGCCTCACATGCTGTTAAATTCCTTTGTCTTGTTTCTCAATCAGCCCTCCCGAAACACCCCTGGCTTAATTCCGAACGTACCAATGGTAAAATACTCAAGGTTATATTTTTATCCTTCCAAGCCAAAAATATTTCACTTCACAGCTAGAGATGAATATTGGAAAAATGGGAGCTTGGCAAAATTGAACGTTGCTCTTCTCCTCAATTAGGATCTAACACTTGTGGGTCTGACTCTTTTCAGTATTGCTTAACGTCATACTTTGAGTGACTCGAGTTTCTCTCGACATTTCTCATTTCTGTCTTTTAATTTGCTTTTTCAATTTCCTAAATGGGATACATATTGACTTTGGAGGAGTAGCTGTAGGGAGCAGTGATCACTCTTCCCTGAGTTAAAATGCCCAGCAGCTGCCTGACAGACTTGACTTTGAAAAAACATTTATTTAATTTTTTTTACTTTCAGCTGTGCTGCAGCAACAAACACTTAATCTGTTGGTTAATTATTAGTACTCAGCTACCGGGTAATCACTCAAGAGGTTACTGATTCCCTTCACTGAAAAGAAAACTGGGGGGGAAAAAGGCTTTTTCCCTTTTCACTTTCCTTATTTTTTCTTATAATAAAAGGAGATTTTATTGAGGTCTTTCTCGGCCATTTGCACACATGTAAATGAAATGCAAATCAAATACAGCAAAGATAATTGAAACTCTGACTAAGATTGATTTGTGGATATCCATCTCTACCTCTGTTGGAGCCAGAGCGAAGGGAGGTACTTCACGGGTTGCCCAACAACCCATGCAGTGGAGCAAGACAGACTTAGATATGATTGTGAACTCAAGGGGGCCACGCTCATGCAAGAGATATGATGGCAGATCTTGCCAGAGGGACAGTAATCAGTGTGACAGAGATCTCTTTTGTTTGGGTGGGGAAAAATCATCATGATAGCAGCCTGAAAAGTGCAATAACAAAACTAAAAACAAAGTTGAAGATTAAATGAATATTTTAAGTTGTCAGCCACAGTATTCAGACTCGTGTCTGCTTTCTGCAACTTTCTGTTTGCGTGCATGTGTCTGAAAGGATGTGACAGCAGCATAGTGTCCACAGGTTTCTCACCAAGGGAAATGTGTGAGGAGAAAGAGAGAGTGGATGGGCCTAAGTACAAGAACAACACAACATGGTGAAGCTGTGTTTTGCTCAAACACTGACGTAAAGCTTACAGCCAGATCAATAAAAGATCACGAAGAGAAACCTTGAAAGTTTTGACTCAAATCACCGTGTAAAGCCCCGAAACTCAACTCCAGGTTCATAAACGCTGCATATCCATCTTCACAGAGCTTTATTGAACCTCAGCACAGTGAGGACTGGGAGGAAATCACCCAGATCTTGCTTTTTCAACCTGAGAGATATAGATCTCTGACAAAATAATAAGTTGTGGATCACTTTATTGTCTCATTTTAAATCTCACAGTTCAGCGTAGCTTTATCTGAGTAGTAAAAGTTTTTTCTTTATTTCCCTCAAAAAAAAAAAAAACCCAAAAAACATCAACATGATATGTAATTATACTTGTTTGTCTCCCCATGCTCGAACCAAATTGTGTTTCAGTTTTATGCTTTTGAAAATATTAAGTCCATATTGAATAATAAACGCATTTTGCAGAGAGTTACAGATTTATAGCAGCTTTGGTGAGACTCACTGCGGTCATTTAATAAGATTGTTTTCTCATCTTTGTCATACTGTTTATTTTATGGCCACAATATTATATTTTTTTTATTAGCTTATGATTTTTATGGGAGTGGTGTCTTCATATTTCTCATTGTTTTTGTCAGGGATATTAAACAACTTTGGGGTGTGATGTATTGATTACTGTAATTTCAAAGTTTTGAACTGTCCTAAGAGAATATTGTGTTTCAGTTTGACTGCGATTGCCTGTCTCGTCATGTTATTGAAACATCTTGACTCGTTTCCAACTGGGGTCTTATATCTACCCCCCCTCCTAATGTAATAGAGGCAGTAGAATAAAAAATGCATGTCTCTCAATCCTCACAGGAAGGAGCTTACACACATGCACAAATTCTTCTCCAGCTTTAGTATAACTCTTCTGTAATTGCTGTTGGTTTGCTCAAGCTACCATCTTAAATTGTGTGGATTAGTCAATAAGCCGAGTGAACTCAATAGAGTCTGTTCATTTATGCATATCTGTCAACTGTAGGAGCTGTGTATTTGCCTGCCTGCGTGTGTGTGTGTGCGTGCGCGCGTGCCCCTGTGTGTGTGTTTAGCAGTGGTTGTCTGCATCTTTTGGAAGGGATTTTCTCTCCCTGTGGTCAAACCCGTTTGGTAATTTACTGGTTGCTTGCGTGGCGGAAAGCGCTTCTGCAAGAACACCTCTGCTAAGTATCTAATTAGCAAACACATTCTCTTACTCGCAAATGCTTATGCGTGCACAAGAGACTGTCGAAATCTTTGAACTCATTACACACTACAATAAATAATAAGCAACCCCCTTCCCATCTATGTTTTTTCCTCTGACAGACGACATCAGGTGAGGACATGCGTGATTTCACCAAAGTGCTGAAGAACAAATTCCGATCTAAGAAGTACTTCGCCAAACATCCACGGCTAGGTTACCTACCAGTACAGACGGTTTTAGAGGGCGACAACATGGAAACGTAAGTAACTCATAAGTTTCTTTTTTATACGTGCTTTTGGATCACAAAAACTTTTCCATAGTTGCTATAACCCTTAAAGGAAGTTTTGTGTGTCCACACTGTTGTTAAGAACTATTAAGCAGCAAGTTAACCCTCCACGCGCAATGCAATATCCTCACGCTGGCATTTCTATTTATGCTCACCATTAAGGTGTAGGAAGGCATAAGAAGACACACTGACAATTCCACCACATAAGCACTGATATAGAAAGAGATGAAGTCTAAACTTTGGAAGCCTTTGAGTGTGTTTTGGCAGTTCCCAGTTTATATCTGTATATCTCTGAGCTTCAGTGCTGGAGTAACATTAAAATGGTGGTAAAACCCGACACCGATTGTACACTCAACTCAGCTGCAGCAGCTTGATTTTTGTAACCTGGTGCATGACTAGCCAAAGTGTCACAAATATGGTGGCACGCACAGAGTTTGACGGCACATCATGTGGCATTAAAGTTCTTAGAGTCTTGTTTTGAGGGCATTGAGCCCCCCAGCATTTCTTTATATTTTGCTTTCAAGGAGACAGACTTTCTTTCACTTTCATTATAGTGGTCTTGAGTATCAGTTCTCCAGGGTTCTGAAGCTCTTTGAAAGTTTTTCTTTGACACTAGCTGCCTTTCGCTCATTTCACTCATTTTCAGTCCAGTCCTGCAACCTGGCCATTTTCAATGTTTTGGTTTTTCTGTTTGATTTAGGTGCCTTTTTAATGCTTGAATGATTCATATGTCAGCGCTGAGTGGCTTAACAAACAAAGGATGAAACACTGAGGCGCCTACACACAACTTAGAATTTAAAATTGGTACTTTTCTATCTTTAAGCACTTTGTCACTTGCAGCCTGTCAAGAAAACATATAATTTGTTCCCATTTTTTAGTTCGGTTTATGAAAAATGGCAAAGATAACAGAGTTTGACAGGAATAAAATAGTATTTTTTGCACCAACAAAATGATTCCCAAAGAGCTATCAGCATCGTGTGAACTGTGTCTGTGGTAAAAAAAATAAATTAAGGACACCGGACAAGTGGGAGACAAAAGCAGGGCTAAAAAACAATCTTCAAAAGATGAACAGTCACTGAAAGTCATGTCCTTAAGAAATATGAAAAAATCCAGCAAAGACTTGACTCAAAGCTCAAACATGCATTTAGTCTTTCACTCCATTCATCCAAATTTGGGATTATTTGCTCAGATAGTCAACAACATGTTCAAAGGAGGACAGAGGACAGCTACAGCAGTGCGTGTCTGCAGTTATCTGCATCTTATCAAAATTGATAGAATTATGAATTCACAAAGGTGTGCAAAAGACAGCCAACCTCCACAAAAGAGCTTTGGACTATCCTTCAGTAAGGAACAGAACTGTGGTGTTTGCTGCATAAGCAAGAGTTAGCACTAAAACTCTTTTTCTTCATTCTTAGAAATGGACCAATTGAATTAAAGCGGGTGCACTGTGGATCCTTTGTCTGCAACACTGGCCCAGTGATTATGTCTAATTTATGTCCCTTCTGCTACCAGCCTTAAATCCTACTGAAAAGAGCCGTTTAACTAGGCCCATATTATGTAGATACCCTACGTCATACCTTCCAGGAGGCTGTCTGAGTTACTGCCCCTTCAAACAGGAGACTCACAATAAAATAAAACATCCCTCACTGTGCATTTTTGTCCCCCCGTTGTTTCCTTTGTTTTTGTTTGTTAGTATTTTTTTAATGTGCCATCACTCACTCACTCCTAATGCAACATTCATTTCCGTTGAACCATGTAGTTTTTGCATCTTTTAAAGCAAAACAACTCTCGGTGCTGTTCACGTATGCACACACAATGAGTCACTTGTTTTCTCTCAATAAATTTTTCCCGACTCGTGCTCAGTCACCGTTCAGATGGATTGCTGTACCGCTTTCATCCCTCCCATCCTTGCCTGTCCTCCTCACCTCCCACCTCGCTCCATTTTCACTTCTCTTCCTCTCTGAAAAATGACTCCTGCAGAGCTTCTGGTTTGATAAATGTCTCTAAAAGGTAGTGAAATTACAGCGAAATGCAGAGAACTTCTCAAAATATGGCAGAAGCGAATGGAGACTTAAAGAAATTTAGGGCTATTTCATGCTCATCATTTTGTCTCTTTTACAGCATTAGGTCTCATCTGCGATCAGTGGGCCATCCATGTATTGCCACAGGCAAAGAAAGCAGCTTTTGGACTGCCTGTAAGATCTGGCCCAAACATAGCCAGTGTTAAGAAATGCTCCCGTTCATTTTAGCTCTGTATTGTCACCGTCTGGTGGCTTCTGCCATCTCTGCGTCATAAAAATTAATACCGTGACCTAAATTGAAATGGATTTTTCTGTAATTGGAACAAGGTCTGGGTTCCTGCTTAATAAGAGCTTTAATACAGATTAGGTAAACACCAGAACAATTGCAGTCATGTTTGTTGCAGTAAGATAATGCTTGTTTACAATTTTAAAATATACAGTTTTTAATTTCCAATTTGTTTTGCAGTTTTTATTTCTAAATATTAAGAGATTTTAAGTGTCACTCCAAACCTTTTTAGTGCGTTGTCAGTCTTCATTAGTCATCATAACAAAGGGAACTTTTAAGAAGTAGTGATTTTATAGTACTGAGCAGCAGAAGAGAAAATTAGATTGTCTGCTGAATAATTGCCCTCACTAATGCACTCACTCTCTCGCGTTCCCTCTTCTCCACTCGCGTAACATCGTTTCTTTTTTGTTTTTTGTTTAATTCCACCCACTCTCTCCACCTTGAGAGTGAGCAAAACACCACTTACTCTCACCTCCCACTTATATCTTTGCTTCATTTCACGCCAGATAGGATTTTAGATTCGTCGCAGCTATATTTGATAATGTGAAAGAACCATTCAAATGGTATTCCACTCAGTGTTAGGTTTTTTTTTGCTTTTCACCCAACGTTACTAGATGGAGCAGATGAGTCTCCGTTGTATTAGGTCTCGCAGGAAGGTTAATGGTTTTGAATGTGGATTTGAAAGCTTGTGGGAGAATTTTCTTGTATAAGTAAAAGTTTTAATGGAATGATTTGACAAGGATAAATCAATAGCAGACTTTTAAAAGGAAAATGTTTTCCATTGTCATATGGCAGTAAAATAGTTTTTATGTTTATTACATTACGAAAAAAAACTGTTTTATTATATATATGTTTACTATTTTTAAATACTCGGTGGCCACTCAGTGGGAAGGGGGATAGCTCAGTAGGTAAAGTGGTTGCCCCATGATCGGAAGGTCGGGGGTTTGAATCCACTGAACAGCTACCCTGAGGTACCCCTGAGCAAGGAACCGTCCCTACACACTGCTCCCCGGGCGCTGCACTGGTGGCCACTGGTGGCACTGGTGCCCACTGCTTCACTGGGTGAATGGGTTAAATGCAGAGGAGTAATTTCCCTACGGTGACTAACACATACACATTATACTTTGTTAGGTACAACTGTTCAAACTCTTGTTAGTTCACATATATAGACAAGATGACCTGCTGATGTTTAAACTGAGGAAAAGAACAAACTAAAGGTGATTTACATGACTTTGAATTAGATTTGTAGTCAAGACCGCCTAAACCGAGACCAAGACCACACCAAGACCAGAGGGTATCGAGACCAAGTTGAGACGAGACCAAGACCGAGACCAAGTTGAGACGAGACAAAGACCAAGACAGAGACAAAAAAAAGTCTTTAAACTGCAGCCAGATGCTGCTTCGTTTACGGGTGTCAGGCACGCCCCACTTGACTGTTGCGTCTCTCACCCTCTCTGTTTTTCAAATAATGATATTATCCTATATCCTCGCTTGTGATTGGCCACAATATAGAGGGATTGGACTATAGCTGAGCCACTGTGTGAGAGCTGAGTAGCGAAAGGAAATTAAGTGATGGTAGAAATGACTGAAAGATTAATAGGCTCTGTTTTGAGTTTTGTTCAAAAAAGAATGACTTCACATAAGAAAAAAATATATCACATATGCAGGACACCAGGATTTACATACTCTTCAGCTAAAAACACAAACACTTGTACTAATTGTAACATCAAATCAGACTAAATGTTTAATTTTTTGGTTTGATAAATATAAAAACATTTGTTAAATTTAAGAGTAAAGAGAGAAATTGTCTGTATTTCTTAATTGAAATGGCACCAAATTGTATTCAAAACTGAGCCACACTTATGGAGCTCCACAATTCTTTTCCTGGTGTTTTGGTTGACATATCTTGATTTTCCCATGTCAAAGAAACAGGCTCTGTGTTTTGCCTTATATGCGTCCACAGGTGTGCCACCAATTTACTCACATGGACTCTACCAACCAATCAGAAGCTTCTTAAGCTCAGAATGGAATCATCTGGTCGTTTTCTTAATTAACAATAAACTTGGTGTATATGTACTTCTAAATTTGATGAAAGTGATAAAAATAGACCGCTCTCTCTCGCTTTATTCTGACATTTAACTAATTCAAAAGATATTTCAATATTTATTTATCTAAAACAAATCAAGTTTACTCTAAATTCATGTTTAATAGTGAAAAAATGTTTTATGCTTTCTCCCTAAAGTGTATGTAAA